TATTTTTCTTAAATATATTTCCTGGGGGTGTAATTCCCCTAGGTGGCGTTGTCAAGTTTATTTATTTTGTTCATAACCCCGCCAACCACTTGGTCACACCAACACTGCAGTACAAGTTACTCACCAGAAATGGAGATGGAAGCATGTAAATATAATAATTACCACTGCAGCCAAAAAGAGTGCGTGACGAGCCCAGTTGTAAGTAAACTGTCAAGACTCAACTGTATACTGTGTTCGTGTTTTCCTCAGAAATAAGTTATAATATATTATAATATAATAAGTTCTGTTGGAGCAGACTGTTAACGCCTCTCTCTGTCTCTCTCTAGCAAAGTTGACCCAGACAACAAAGTAAAGCTAGTTTTCAGCTACGAGCCCAACACGGAACCCAGCTTATTAGCCAGAGGTCCCTTTACTACAGCTCAGACCATCCAGCCGCCGACCTGTTTTATATTCGCAGGGAATAGTTTTCTACACGAGATCACTGCAAAAAGTGCAGCCTTACCCACCCTTCTGTTACTCATTTTAGATTAAGATCTAAAAATCTAGTTGGTATTGGTATGGCAAGTAACCTTCAGTAATAGTAATAAACCATACAGAAATAGTACATTCATGTAGTTGTAAAAAGAATGATCACTTTAAATATACCATACCCATTTGTATCATTGCAGTGTGACAGTGGACTGATAAAAATTCATGCTCAGAATAAATCAGTACATGAAAGTTGTGACTTTCACACTCCTGTGTTGGACAGTTTCTGTTTTCCACTCGTGCACTCGTGTCTGCTTTCATACACTAATGTATCCACAGTTTGTCCTCAGTGTGGTCATGTCATTCAATTCAATCATCATTCATGTGCCCCCTTCTGATTCATGCACATGAACTCAAGACACAGACATGGTCTCATTATTTACCAGAAGTGTTGGTGAAGTTACTTGAAAAAAGTAATCAGTAACTAATTACTGATTACGTCCCCCAAAAAGTAATCCTGTTACTTTACTGATTACTTATTTTCAAAAGTAATTAATTACTTAGTTACTTAGTTACTTTTTAAAAACACGATTTACAACCTGAATAGGTGATAAAGCGATAGATCTTTCAGCCCAATTCTACTTTTTCTACATAATCCATCATACAAAATGTAAAACTTGTTTTATTAGTTTTAATCTTTTAACTTTAAGCATCAAGCAAAAATGTAATTATATGCACCATTCTCTGACTGGAAGAAATTTCTTTTAAACCTATTTAAACCTATTTTCTGCACATTCCAGCACATAATTTTTTTTGTGTGTGTTTACACTCAGTCTTTCAAATAGATGCAAGTAAAACACAGCAGAAAATAAAGTCAAAGACTAGCGGTCCTGTTGCTCTATTTTCACCTGTAAAGCAGGAGTAGGGTAGGCAGAGGTTTACCCTGGTGCAGGTGTGCCGCAGCCGTCAGTGGAAGAATCCGCGAGTTTCTCTGTGAATTTCCCATTACTTCGTAGTGCACTCGGTGCTTGCTTGGAAGTTAAGGGGGTTGTTTTCGCTGTAAAAAGAAGTTTTCTTCCCACGCACGATGGACGCTAATGTTTTTGTCACTTTTTATGGAATCAAACTCAAAGTAAGGTCAGTACTTCCACGCTTTAAACGCTGCACGCTCATACTCTCTCCCGCACTCGATCCATTGTTGATCTGCACACAGCTGTTGTCACAAACGTCGCACTTGCTTACGTCACTGTCATGAGACATTCTCGCAAAAAAAATCACGGTTTTAGTAACGCAGCGTTCCTACGGGAAAGCAACGGTAATCTAATTACCGTTTTTGCAATAGTAATCCCTTACTTTACTCGTTACTTGAAAAAAGTAATCGGATTACAGTAACGCATTACGCGTTACTGCCCATCTCTGTTTACCAGAGGGTCGGTAAGGTGACAGAACATTGTCTCTGAGACTTCAGTATGTAGAGTCCAGAGGTCCAGTTAGTGAAGAGACAGACTCTGATCTCTTCACATAAATGCTAAAACATGCATTAAACACAGTGAATTGACTGCCCAGTGTTACACTCTCAGCAGAGCTGTAAGCAAAGCTGTACATGGCGTCAGGGTGTCCTTAAAGCAGAAGCAGTGCTGAAAGAGATCAAGTGTGCACGCGAAAGCCGCCATGAAAGAAAGATCAGACGAGTTTAAATCAGACGTGTTTTCATGGTTCCGCCTGTTTCTAAACTCCTGCAGTTCCTCTCTCTGCGTCCAAATGACTTTTCTCTGTGCATAAATCATCTCTGCAGGAAACTGCAGCAGCATGCTTTTACCAGACCCCAATGTCTAACAGCAGGCAGACTATAGATGTTTACACAATAGATTAAAACCCTCATTTCTAGCACAGTGTTGTCTAGAAAGCTTGTTTTTTGTTTTGTTTATTTGATCGTAATTCTGTTTATTTGATCGTAATTCTGTTTAAAGTAGTGCGATTTTGCAGATTTGTCCTGTTCTGTGCCATTGTCCTGTTTTTGGGGAGTCTAACTTTGTTACGTCCCCCCCGAAGGGGTCTAGGCATGCGAGTGAGGGGACCAGTAACAAATGAGTCCAGAACAGAATGAAAGGAAAACAGACAGGTGTTCTTAGTAAATAACAGTCTTTATTGTAGATAATTATAACATAAGGAGCCGGCAACGCCGTATTACCAATAACATGCCGAAAAAAGGAAAAAAAGGTTGCAACAACAAAGAACACAACAACCAAACAAAAACTCCACACCACGAGGAGGCACTTCCAGGGGCCCACAAGCTCACCCTGTCACTAACAGCAGCTGGCTTTACTGCTGCCAAGGCCCACAAGCCCACACTACTCACGTAAAGCAGCTATACTGCTTCCACAATTCCACAACTCCACACTTCAGGCAGGCTACCTACACACCAAGCAGAGACACCCCACACCCTGCTCACAGCTCATCCCCAGCTTATATGACCTCAGAGAGGTGATTGCTGACTGGGCCCAGGTGGTAAGTGAGTCCAATGAGCAGCAGCTGTGTCCTGGGGAGAGAGAGAGCAAGAGAGAGACAGGGGGGTGGAGCAAAAGAGGAGGAGGTGGAGAAAAACACCACGCCCACACAAGGGCAGTATCAGGAGGCCCAGCTAGGGCCGTAACACTCTGCAAAGAGTCTGAACATCGAAGACATGCCATAACTCAGCTGAGTACAACAAAGAAAATACTCCTTTAAAAGGAAATCAGTAAATGCCCTTTACACTCCAGAGGTTTAAATCCCGTTAAAGTTCTGGAAAAGGCACCACCTAGTGTTTAGCCATAGAATGACAGAGACGTTAAAACAAATACTCGGACCCATAGCTATAGATGAAATAAACTGCATTTATTTTGAAAGGCACAAATCTGACAGCTCAGCTGTAATATTACATTCAAAGGATACATTCACTGTCACAATAATAAACACAGGTATGAACAAGAATTTTAAAAAAAGAATGAGAGGAATCACAACAAATAAGAGTTCGATATGAAGAAAAGCCGAGTTTTCTAAATGTATGTGCCTTGAGACAAAATTAAAACTGAAAAACTGAATTTCACCAGGGTTTAAATGAGGATGTGAAAATCTCTGAAAAGTTTCAATTCTTAATCCTGGAAATCACCCAGAAGCAGATTAGGATTACACATTCACATCAATGCAGACTAATTGCACAGCTGAATGAATGAAATGACAAACAGAAAATAAACATAAAAAAAATACATTCTTAAGTACAAAATGTTAAAAAAAGGATTCAAAACATGCCTGCAGTCTCATGTGGATGGTGGAGCCTATCAGCTGTTGTTTGTTGGTAGGTTTTAATGGTCAATGTCCAGTTAGTCTGGTGAGTAACCTTCTAACGGGTCAAGGTTCATTCATGGGCGGCAGCTGGCAATGATTCCAGTAAAAACAGCTCTTTAAAAGCTTTCACAAAGCAATCACAGACATTGTCACCAAACATGTTGGTTTCGACTCTGATGATGTTTAGGAGACCAAATGGAGTTTGAAGGTGCTGGTCTGAGGGCAAGTTTACTACAATGAGCTGATCAGGTGTGTTGGGGATTGGACAATCCCCCTTGCTCTTAATTTGAAAATTCATGTGCTTGTGTCGGGGTTTTTGGTACTGATGGTGCGATTGGGGTGGCTTTAGTTCTGGTTCTGTTCTGGAGGGTCTTTCTAACCAAATGGTGCAGCAGGTGAAGAACTGGATTATGAGCAGAACCAGGACCAGTGGGCATGAAAGTTGTGGGAGGAGGGACTCACTGGAGAGGCAGCTAATTATTGCTGCCTGTGCAGGTCACATGGCTATTTTAGCACAGGAATATTTCAGCTGTGCAGGATTGAACATCAGAGCCTGTTTCAGTATCCTTTCTGAGACCTTCAGAGGACACGAAGTTTCGAGTCGCCATCAGTCTTTTCAGGAACACATCAGTCAGCTCTTCCAAGGTCATTTTTTATCCTCGCTTAGAGCTCATCATCTGCAGGTGCAGGAAATGATGAGCTCTGGGCTTCATTTGTGTAGTAAAGACAGCAGGAGGCTCTGTGGGAGACTCGTCTTCAGTCATCACTCACAAAATAATCACACACAAAAAGAAAATGCAGGAGTTGGAATATTTCATGATTAAAATAATGAAGTAGAACAAGAGGTGTAGCATGGGGTTAGAACTCTTTAGCTTCTAAATATTTTTCTCTGGATTTTAAGAATCTTATCGGTGTGACAGAAGTGGGTCAGTTTCGGTGTTAGAGACCTGGAGCTTCAGAGATCAACCCACGAATGTCTTCACATGGTGAAAGAAGCACCACTGTTGCTGGACCCGTCCATTGAGCGTCGAGTGGAGGACATGTAGAAGTCGGAGGTGACTCTGGAGAAGCGGCGTGGGGCCATGTACTTCTTTCCAAGACACCACAGGTCCCTGAAGATCCTCCTGAAGTGGTTCCTGAAGTTCACTCCCACGAAGGCGTACAACACCGGGTTCAGGCAACAGTGCATGTAAGCAATGGTCTGCAACACCTTCAGGGCCATCTCCAATGTTTCTGCATCATCACACGAGCGTTCTTGAAACAAGGTGACCGTGTCGTACAGCAGCACTATGTTGTAGGGCAGGTGGCAGATGATGAAAACGGCCACAACCACCAGCACCACCCGCACCGCTCTGTGCCGCTGGAAGTTTTTGGCCTTCAGGAGGGTGACGATAATGGCACTGTAGCAGAAGATCATGATGAAGAGTGGCAAAAAGAAACCCACGCTGATCTGGGTGCTGGGGACAGCTACCTTCACCTCTTTGGCTGTTTTTGGGTCTTCAAACTTGAACTCGCAGACGTACTCAGAGGTTGAGTTCAGCATCTGGATTGAGATATCATCGTCGAATATGATTCCAGTCATGTGTGATGGCTTGTACCAGTCGTAGAAGTAGAAGGTGGGGACTGACACGAGTATAGCAAAGATCCAGACAATGGCGGAGATAATGCGGCTGTATGACAGCGAGCGCAGTCTGAAGCTGCGCCGAGCCTGGACGATGGCGATGTAGCGGTCAGTGCTGATGCAAGCAAGCAGCAGCATGCCACTGTACAGGTTCACACTGTAGGAGCCACGCAGCAGCTTGCAGGCCACCTGCCCCATCGGCCATGACCACAGCTCGTTGTAGACAATGAATGGTAGTGCCAGCACAAACAGCAGGTCGGCGATGGCCACGTTGAACAAGTAGATGTCAGTCATGGACTTGGTCCTCTTGTAGAAGGCGTAGGTGACAATGACCAGGCTGTTCCCCACAAAGCCTAGGATGCAGATGATGGAGTGGACATACGGGCCAATCACCTTCGCCATACTCTGGTTTTTTTGAAACTGACAAAACCCATCATAATCGTAGTTTTCTTCTTCATCTTTGGTTTGGTTGTATGACTGGTTGAACATCCCCGTGGTGTATGATTGGTTGAATATCTTCGTGGTGTATGACATCAAATTCTTTGCAGAGTAGACTGTAAAGGAAGCAGAGATAAAACGTCAAACTACAGCAAAGGTGTCTGATGAACTCACAGTGAAACAAAGGTGATGGCAAGAGGAAGACCTGAGGGCACACGATGAAAAAGCTGTGTGGATGCTATAGCATCTTCAGTTGGCACATTAAACAGCTCTGTATCTTCATAATAATTAAATGAGAGCCACGTTTTTTCATTTGCATCTCTTCAAACAATTAGCAGCATAACTAAGGGCAGGTTCAGGTGACCATGCACCTGAACCTGCACTAACTATATACTTTAGCACAAAGGAAAGTTTGAAAGCTAATCTTAAAAATCTTAAGTGTCTGTCTCCCGAATCCAAACTGGAAGCTGGTTCCATAGAAGAGGGGCCTGAAAACTGCATGAACTAGTATTTCATCATCCCTCGGAGACACAATGTTTTTAATGTCATTGCCCAAGAGAATTTTCTTCTTCGTCCTTTCTCAGCTCCTTTCTCTAGCCACTCCATCATTTTCCTCCATCTTCTCCTATCCCAGCATCCTCCTCTGTCACACCAACCCTCTGCATGTCCTCCTTCACTGACCTCCTCTGAGGTCTTCTTCTTCTCCTTCTGCCTGGCAGCTCCATCTTCATCATCTTTTGTCCACTATATCCACTCTCCCTCCTCTGCACGTTTTCAAACCCTCCATTTCACTCTTGCCTGTTCTTCCTACTTCCTCTCTTTTGTACATCTATAATGTGAAGAAGTATTGGTCCCAGCACAGAACCCTGTGGGACTCCATGTCTAATGCTGTGTGTGAGGACGACTCTGTTTTTTGGAGTCTATTAGAGAGAAACAACTCAAACCAGCGCAATGTTTCTTTTAACACCATTTTGTTGCAGTGAAACTCTGGCAGGGCGAGCACTAAGATGAGTTCACTGTCCAAGGCCACGAGACAGCAGAAAGTAGCCTGAGCTGGACATCCACAGACCTGTCTATGGATCCCAGACCTGTCGTCCTAAACCACCCAAACTCTAAGAACTATGTGTCACATCACATAACTTTAACCTGAAGCAGGCGTGTTTCAGGCTGATGAAACAGCATTTCAAAATACCACAGTGACTGTTGTTATTCATTAATTTAAACACTGTTTTTGTGACTTTGATGCAAACACAGTGAGGAAGCCTCACAGTGGTTGTAAGCTCCACAGTTTGTTTCTTGGAAACGTCCCGTTGTCCACTCAAATACTCTAAATGTTCCCTTTTTTCCATTGTCTCCCTCTGAGGAATCATAAGTTTTCACCTGGTCAGAAGTTATATCTCATTTTCATGTTTCTGCTGCTGTTCTCTGCATGTGTCACACTCATGTTCCTGTGCTGTAACATAATTGGATAATTTTTATGCCATCATAAACTAGGCAAGAAGCCCGCAAGGCTCCTGGCTCTCGTTTGGGTTGTGAGCTCGATGTGACAGTAAGAGTCGGCGTTTGTCAGTGAGTTTTCACTCTAGAGTGAGATGGAAACAGCTTCTGAAGAAAGTCTGGAATGATTTTTAAAGAGTAAACTTTCACATCAGACAGTGTCAGTCACAAAACTCTTTGAGATTAATAAGTGACACACTTTACAGCCTCCAGATTTCAGTGCTCACTCATGCTCTGACTCGTCCCCGCTAAGCAGCGAGTCCTGAAACCTGAACAGGACTTTGTCATGTTAAACATGTGAAAGTGGTGCAGATGCCGGCTCCCTTGAGCTGCTGCTGCTGGTAAATTCCGATGCAGACGTCCTCATTGCGGTGCCATTGGTGCACATGCCACACCGTTTCAGGTGTTTGAGCATTTGCAGGAGGTTTGCAGAAATGAGGTCAGAAACAGCGAGTGACCCACTTCATGCATGCATGGCTTCCCCCTCAGTTACTTCCCCCAAATCACAAGACGCTCCACAGCAGAATGAACACCCCCCCCTCTTCATCTTCCTTCTTCCTCACATATTCACCTTTTTATCTTCATATCAAAGATTAAAGTCGAGCAGAAAGAGCCAGGTGTTGGTCTACCTGAAAGGCTCAGGTGTGTTTGTTTATCAAGGGGTTTCCTGTAAATAAGAAAACTTCTTCCTAACCATCAGCAGCAGTTAGATGTCAATAAATGTCCAAATGTCACGAAATGCCATGTGCAGAAAAAAGGCACAAGTCCATTTAACTTAATTCAGTGTAACTTATTTTAATTTCATGTAATTCAATTTAATTGAATTTAACTTTATTTTATTTTATTTGACCCCGGGAGCAGCTTTTATTCATCATCTTTTTAATATAATTTCATTTTTCATTTAGATTTGATTTATTTTCATTTTTATGTCTCTATGATCTTTTTACCTTTGTGTAATTTATTCTTATTTATTCTGCAGTCTGCTTTATTTTATTTTACAACATGATTTTTATACCTTTAGTTTTTTAAAAACTTTATTTTTTTACATTTTGTTTTATAGTCTGATTTAGTTTAAATTTTTTTGTATTTTCTTCTGTCTTTATTATTTTCTATGGTTAAATTAATGTATTTATTTATTACCTTTTTAAACTTTTGTTGTGATTTGGTATAAATAAAAAATATAAATAAAATTAAACTGAATAATGTAGTCTGCCATTTTATTTTTGACTGTCTTATTTTTATATCTTTATTGTGTTTTTAATTGATTTCTGATTTTATTGGTGCGTTCATGCTTTAAATAAAGTTCAGTCAGGGCAGTAATCACAAGGCTGGAAATGTAATAGATTACTTGCAGTATGTGGGCAGGTGTACTAAATGCTGACCTGAGATCAGCTGCTGGTTTTCAGGAAGTTAATTACACAGACACCTGAGCAGGTGACAGGACACAAACAGGAAGTGGCCATTTCCCGCCGCTTGCACATCGGACAATTCTGCTGTGTGCGTCCTTCGGGGCAGCGCGGCAGATGAAATCATCTGAGGTCTTCTGGACCTTTCGCTTCCCCGCAGGTGACATTTGAAATACGGGAAGTCTGAGGGGAGAAATTACAGCCGAGGGCCGCTGGGAGCAGAAGTGCAGAGCAGGAACCTGAGGTATTTGAGGAACTGTTTATTTCTCCTTTAAGATGAGTTTAGCCTGCACGACACAGACGCTACATTGCTGTCCTGCGGCGGGTAATGGGAAATTTCTCTTCTGCTTGTGCAGAAATGGGAGCCAGTTGTTCAGGACAGCTCGGAGCTCGCCTCGGCTGGCACTTTTATACTCAGTCCTTCTGAGAGCAGCCCCCCAACTGTACTCAGGCAGGTCAAAGGTCAATTTCTCGTTTCAGATGCTTGGAAAAGTTCAGGCTGCAGAAAACATGTTGAACTGATTATAAAAGTTTTTATTTATTTTTTGTCAGAGTTTAAAAAACAGATTTCTTTTGTAAAAACTGTAAACAAGTTTTTTTTAACCTGCAGGTGATGGTGAATGTGGTCACGACCTCTCCTTTCAGCGCACACAAACTTTATCAGATTTATCAACTGTGTTTCTGAGCTGCAGAGACGCTGCACAGCTGAGAGACTCAGTTACTCTTTGATTAAACTTTGTTCCTGAGGTGGTGATGATTTTTGTAAATGTGTGGTTTCTGTGCTCGTGCGAGCAGCTGACGGAACGTGCCGTTTGCAGGGAAACGCCGTCTTATCGGTTCAATCTTTACAAGATAAATCAACAGAAAACGCCTCTTCACAGCACTCCTGATCTTATCTAAAAAATATCCCACATTACATCATCTGACAGAGTTTAACCCCCAACTTGCTGAAAAGCAGGAAAAACACACCTGAAGGTTCAAAGTGCCACCTCTGAGCTTCAGCCTCTGTTTCCAGCCTGAAACGTTGAAACAGTCTTCAGAGTCAGAGTCTTCTGACTGTCCAAGTCAGCGCTACAGCAAAAGCTCCGATCAGAAGACTCACAGGTGTGGTGGCGGATGATGAAGCCGGCTGCTGAGGCTGCACAGCTGAGGACGAGGATGACGAGGGCGATGATCCAACAAACACTAAACGCTGCGATTAAAGAGAAATACGAAGCAGTGAGAAACCCCAGTGTGAGCCTTCCTCTTTACCCTGCCCTCTCTGTGTGTGTGTGTGTGTGTGTGTGTGTGTGTGTGCGTGCGTGCGTGTGTGTGTGTCTGGCCCAGCACACATTACTGTGACGTCCGCTCTTCATCTCAGCTTCCTCTCACACTATGATAAAAAATGAAAGGCTGAATTTTTCCATTTTTCTACTGAAGACCCCGTCACGTCCCCTTTATTCACACTGAACCTTATTTATACCTCCTTTGGAGACAGAGCTTCATAACATTTGGGGGTCACTGCTGTAAGATTAAAGGCTGTGTGTGTGTGTGTTTGCTGATAAAAATAATTTTTGTATTATCTGTTGTGTCGGTTTCCTGTTGTGGTTCCTCTCGTGCTATCGGGGGTTAAAACTGTCATAGCAGCATTACACATGATTTATTGTTTATAGTTTTGTTTCACCTCAGATGACTCTCAGACCATCAGTGACGTTCAGACTCTCAGCTTTAATATAGTTCTGCATGGACCGCTCAGCATTACAGACGTGTCAGGAACATGTAGTAACACAGTCTATGGCATCATTACATGTTTAGATTTTCTGTAAAATTACAGTGTAATTATATTTACATACAAACACATGCTGTAAGTAAGCTTTGCCCGTGTATAAACTAAGAACATCATTATAAGCTCGCATAGGCCTGCAGGTTTATTCTTTATTGGGAGGGAGAACAGTTATTACCACGTTCATATCTGTAAAAGAAAAGCTGACATCCATCATGCACAGCAGCAGAGTAAATATTTAATAGAGATGTAAAAAGGAAGATTCCCTCCGTAACGCGGCACACACCCTGAGGACAGACCTGCAGGGCCTGGAGAAATAGTTTGTTGCTTTATAAGAAAGCCTTCCTCAAAGCCAGAACATCTTACTATTCATCACTGATTGAAGAAAATAAGAACAACCCGAGGTTTCTCTTCAGCACTGTAGCCAGGCTGACAAAAAGTGAAAAAAAATGACTCATAATCATCTCAGATGTAACATTACCTACAACTACTTTCAGTACCATTGATATTCATTTAGAGTCTTTCATTTAGAGGCAGTATCAACAGAATGCATAGCATACATTTTCACTGCTATGCAGATGACACCCAACTTTATCTATCCATGAAGCCAGATAACACACACCAATTAGTTAAACGGCAGAAATGTCTTAAATACATAAAGACCCTAATGGCCTCTAACTTTCTGCTTCTTAATTCAAATAAAACTGAGGTTATTGTTCTTGGCCCTGAAAATGTTAGAAATATGGTATCTAACCAGATTCTTACTCTTGCTGACATTACTTTGGCCTCCAGTAACACTGTGAGGAACCTTGGAGTCATTTTTGACCAGGATATGTCCTTCAATAAACATATTAAACAAAAATATAGGGCTGCTTTCTTCCATTTGTGCTATACCTCAAAAATTAGAAATATCCTGTCTTAGAGTGACGCTGAAAAACTAGTTCATGCATTTATTACTTTTAGGATACTTGTTGTTCCTAGAGTATTTAAAAGTAGAATGGGAGGCAGAGCCTTTTCAGGCCTCTCTTCTGTGGAACCAGCTTCCAGTTTGGATTTAGGATACAGACACTATCTCTACTTTTAAGATCAGGCTTCCTACTTTCCTTTTTGCCAAAGCATATAGTTAGGGCTGGATCAGGTGACCATGAATCCTCGCTTAGTTATGTTGCAATAGGTGTGGGATTCCCATGATGCACTATGTCTTAATAGGCCTCTCTGCAGTGAATGACACTTATTAATCTCTGGCTCTTTTCCACAGCGTGTCTTTTATCTTGTCTTCCTTCTCTCACCCCAATCGTTCGTGGCAAATGGCCGCCCCTACCTACCAGTGACCCAGCAACACACTCAGACAAAAACTGGTTCGCCCGAAAGACAAAACTCCTAAACACAAACTTAACAATGTGGTGTATGCTGTACAGTGCAGCAAGGAATGCCCAGACCTCTACATTGGAGAGACCAAACAGCCACTTCACAAACGCATAGCACAACATAGAAGAGCCACCTCCACAGGACAAGACTCAGCAGTCCATCTGCATCTTAAGGATAAAGGACACTCTTTCGACGATGCCAATGTTCACACTTTGGACAGAGAAGAAAGATGGTTTGAAAGAGGAGTGAAAGAAGCCATCTATGTCCACTGTGAGCGACCATCTTTGAACAGAGGCGGTGGTTTATGACAGCGGTTCCCAACCCCCGGGCCTTGAACCGGTACCGGGCCGCGAGAGTTGAGGCTCGGGTGTGAAATGTATGGTATTCAGGGTTTTTATCAGTTTTTAGCATTATTTTGTTATCGTTTTGATCGTTAACTCGGTTTTCCTGGGTCTTTTCACGTGTGTTATGAATAAATCTTCTTTTTTTTCGGTACCGGTACTAGTTTTATTTTGTTGTATTTATCCGCGACACATTAAAGGCCGGTCCGTGAAAATATTGTCGGGCATAAACCGGTCCGTGGCGCAAAAAAGGTTGGAGACCGCTGGTTTACAACACCAACTCTCTGCCATCTATAATCCAGTTTTGAGATCCCTTCCCAGACGACTTAACGCCCACTCACATCCTGGGCCATCTGACCTCAGGAAATCACATGATAGGGTGGGGCCAGGTTTCACAGTGAGCTCACCCGAAACCCTGGCTGATTGGGACCCACACCCGCTTTCACACCTTGGCTCATGTGATTAGGTAGGGGATCATCAGGGGGTCCTTTGTCCCTCTTTGGGAGGAAATTCCCACTGGGTTTAAATCTGGGACTCTTGACCATTTGACCTTAGAACTGAAGAAGCTTCTCGGATGAGAGGTGAAACGTCTTCAAGCAACTTAAAGAAGTCCAGAGGCTTTTCTTTCCAAGCTCCTTAGACTACGATGACCTGGATGACTGAGAACCTTCACAGACAGAGGGCTGTCAATGTTAACGCCGTCATCACGATTAAAGCGATTAGAATTTTAAACGCAATCAACCCATGTGGAGCGCAGAATGACCAATGGTCTGAAATACGTTGACAGAGACATTTCAGGGATTTTCAGTCATTCAGTGCTCCAAATTGATTAATTGCGTTAAAAATTCTAATCGCGTTAATCATGATGACGGCGTTAACGGGTTAACGTTGACAGCCCTACAACACACACAAAAACTGAAGACATTATGATATAAACGTATAATTTGCACTGATGTGTTTTCTAAAATCTATCCCACACATGTACGCGAAAAGTGAGCACGAGGGCCCTCGGTGTGCCTGCTTGCTTCTGATGCTGTGCTGAAGTCTCACAGGCAACTTGTCGAAAGAGGAGGGGGCAGGCTGCTTCCAAATAGTGCACCTTTCATTCAAAAATATTGTCAATCCAAGCCCATTATGCATTAATTATTTTTCCTGCGTTGTGTGAATTCCTAGGAAGAAAAAAAAACCTATACAGTGTGTAGGTCTATTAGCTTATGTTGTGGGTGTTCATACTGGAGAGCAAAATTACTGATCGAAGATGTACAAGAAAAGGTCAAAGCAATCAGGTCCTCGGTTTAGAAACAAAACAGAAAAGGAGAAAGAAGCAAAAGATACAGGTAAGCAGATGTGTCTTTGGAAGGTATTATGTAACATGAAACAAGATAACATTCATTAGTAGTGATTGGGAAAACTTGTGTTTACCTTTGTTAGCCACTTGGCTATGATAGTAAAAAGTAGACAGACAGAATACACTGATGTGGCTTATTGAATCTTTTGGACTGTGTTCAGAACAATATTAATTACCCATTAATTGCTGATTTGTCTGCTATTCTCAATGTGCGATGAAATATAATGGCTGTTTGTTAGCCATGTGCATATTCTCTCTCTCTATATATAAAATATTTATCTGGGTAAATTCAGTTTGGTTCCGACAACAGTTTTCCATAATAACGTATGTTAATATACAATCCTTAATATGTTTTATGTGTGTGTGTGTGTCGGGGGGAATGGAGGGTGGCAGAGGGAGTGTTCGCCCAGGGCACCAAATAGGCTAGGACCGCCCCTGAGTAAACCAGAGTTTTAAAGTCTGCAATGCCTCTGAACAATAAAATCAGCCCCGAGCACCGACAACCTCTCACCCTGCTACATTTTCACTGAGTAATGAGAAACAGTCTCTGTTTCTGCTTTTTACTTATCTCTGTTTTATTTACACACACACACACACACACACACACACACACACACACACACACACACACACACACACACACGGAGGATGTCTTGATTTATGAACACAGAGCTTTATTCTTCACTGAGACTGTACAAGCTTAAATATCAGGATACAAAGAAGAGGTGCATGATGGGAGGCTCAGCCGACGTCCTCCATGTAGTCGGCTCCATGACTCTGACTGAGCTGAGAGATGCTGACGTCCTGAGTGGATTCATCCACCTGTGGACAGAGACAGAAATGAGCCTGAGGCTGCAAGTGGAGCTACAGGTGGAGCTGCAGGGGCATGGTCTCACCTTGTCGCTGTGGTCGGGGCCCTCAATGGAAACCTCCTCGATCTCCTCGCCGATGCTCAGCTCGCTCTTGGAGAACTCAGAGCGGTGACTAAACAAATAGAAGAAGAAAAGTAAGACGATCCTCCATCTGCCCAGCCTGACTGCAGGACAGATATCACTTTAACGCAAAACATGACAGTGGCTCTGTGGCACTGCGGTCAGCAACACATCTGTCCTCTGTTCCTTCGAGCTGAATCTGAACAGCTGCTGTAAAGGTCTGGAAGGTTTCAACTACTTTCTATTTCTATTTATTTATTTATATAGCACTTTTAATTACAACAGTGGTGTTGACCAAAGTGCTGTACAAACATACAAATTACACAATAAAATAGCAATATCAATTAACATCAATACCAAATAGCTAATAACAAATAAATAAGTAAATAACTCTCATGCAGAATTAAAAGCCAGTGAGTAGAAATGCGTTTTAAGATAGGATTTAAAAAGGTTGAGGGTAGGAACCAGTCTAATGTGGAGAGGCAAATCATTCCACAATTTAGATGCCACAACTGCAAATGTACAATCACCTCTAAGAACTAGTCTTGACCTTGGTGTGCCCAAGAGCAAAAGCTCACCCGATCTAAGAGCTCTAGGGGGCGTATAAGGCTGCAGTAGGTCTGACAGATACCCTGGGGCCTGTCCATTCAGTGCTTCATAAGTCACCAATAAGGTTTTTTTAAATTGATTCTAAAACGTACATGGAGCCAGTGAAGCGATTTGGTCATAGCTCGGGAACAATTCAAAAAAATTTGAAAAGTCTTGGATAAAATCTTTATGGTATTTTGGAGGTCTGTAGACTGCTGTGACAAGTGTCGGTCGAGGATGCCCCACTTCAAACCACAGAAGTTCAAAACTTGAATAAGAGTCAGTTAAAACCTGTTTGGATGCCTGAATTCCAAAATCCCTGAATTCTGACAGCAGCAAAAACGGTGAAGCGTTAAAATCACAGCTGTGATGGTAAACACTGATTTAATCCATCATCCACATCAGTGATTACGACGCAAGAAAAACCACAAAATACTTTTCCTGTCAATGTCTAAACTCTGGTCTAACACGCTTTTACGAAACATAACTTCATTTTGCCACTAGATGGTGCTATGACTGCCGTTAGCTGTGTTCGGGATTGGACTTTCATCAGACATCTGGAGCAGGCTGGATTTCTCAGTGAAAGTTCAAATAAAGTACTAAAGTAATAAAGTACAAACACGGTTCCATAGAAAACATGCTCTGATGTAATAATAACAATAATAATAATACTAATAATAATGATGATGATGATGATAGCGATGCGTGGAGCAGATCCAGCAGCACCTTCGAAGTGTGAGTGCTCGACTCACAGATATCACAGGAACATCAGACCCTCTG